AATATCTTTCAAAAGTATCCAATTCCATCATTTTGATGTAGCTTTAGTAACATTTTTAAAAAATGGCAATGAAAGGACAACTTTGAGAAATGAAGTTGTGTCTAATTCTTGCCCTTTAGGGAATCCATGTGATAGATGCAGAGATCACCTCAAGCGTCACATTAGGCAAGGGTTGCACATTCCTCCTAAGCAGTGACCTTTCTTCTCTGTTCTTACTTGCCTCTAGTTGTGGCTCATGAGCTGGAAGCTTAGCTGCATCAGGGAATGTTATCCAAAATGAGCCACCAAGTCTTTTGTTGTCACAAGACTATCATGATGCACAGAGTATAGGGTGAGTACAATGCAAGTGACCTTCTTGCTGGGATGATCTAGCATCCCAAGGAGGTGAATGACTAGAAAGATCACAGCCCCAACTATGACAGCATTGTTCTCACTGCAGAAGAGATCGTTCTGAACAAAAGGCAGTGAGAAGGCACACATAACTGAGTGTTAATGGCATTTGGTGCCCTGGGCTTTCCAGCCACAGTCATCCAGGAGGCTCTCCTCAGTCCTCTTCTTCAGCATGCCTCAGTTCAGGAGGTCTATTTTAAACAAGTAGCTCTACCAAGGCCATGAGCAGAAGTGGAAACGATGACCTGTAGTGCTTTAAACAAACGGGTTTGTTGTGAGACTGCTCTAGTTTCTTCTGGGAATCACTCACTATCTTCTGACAGCCAGAAAAGAGATAAAATTCCTCCTGAAATGAAATATAATTACTGAAGTTTCATGTATTTATACTAAGCTTTCAACATTGTTAAATAGGGCCTTTCTCTAAGACAGGCATTTGATTCTCCCCTCTTAGTAAATGGGAAAATGCAGTACATCCACAGGCACCCTGTGTAAATGCCTTGCGACAAACAACTAGGAAAGGCAAGGCCTCGTGGAGCTGCTACTTTTACGTGGGTTTTTTATTATTATTATTATTATTGGTACAAGTAACAACCTGTTACCATTGGCTATGAGGCAAAACAAACCCTGGACTTCTAAGTCCTCTTCTTTTCCTTCTACTTCCATCACCTACTGCTTCCAACAGTCTGATTGCTGAAAGGTAAACAGAAGCAGGAAAATAGAAAGAATAAATCTCAATTGCCCTTTCAGAAAATAGCAGTGTTGGTAAATGCTGGATGATATGAGGTCTCTGCTCACCAAGAAGCTGTTACTTGGTATGATGACCCATACAAAAGCCAGAAGAATTAAAATTTGGATCTGTTAGGAATGTGACCACATATGCATGTTCCATGATCACAGTGAAGAAGAGACCATCTTGATAATGATAATGCTAGCCACTCCTTGTATTTATTTATTTTTGCCCCAGTAATTTTTGTGGATGGCAGGAAAGTATAGCAGGGTGATGGCAGAGCTAGAGACCACTGGCCTGGATTAGGGTACATGAAATCTAAGCAGAAAGGCCCAGGAGAGAGCTCATAAACATAATGGGTTGTTTCTAAATATATCAGATTTAATTTACTCCAACAGGAACCAGACAAATTTGTCTCAGGAAAGTGGGTCTCTGTGAAAAGAGGAACCAAAAATACATATTTTAAGGGAAAACATGAGTTCTTTCTCTTGCATGAATACGTTCTTTATTCTTTACTCTTCAACCAGAAGCCAATCTTCTCCAAACAGTCAAGTAACTGGTGCAGGTGTTAATTTGCTGAAGAAACAGGCCTTTAGGAAGACAGCCATGTCTCATCAGGCTTACAGAGGAGGATTTATGCTTCAGAGGCAGCTCCTAACTCTTCTGGTTGGAGCACAGATCTTTTAGGGATTTTATCACACACTGTCTGGTAAGTTGAAGCGCTCTGATGGCACAGTGGATAAGGCATCTGGCTACTAACCAAAAGATCAGTGGTTCATAATCCACCAGTGAAGACGGGGTGATCTACTTCCATAAAGATTTATAGCCTCAGAAACCCAAGAGGGGGTTACTATAAGTTGGAATCAATGCGAAGGCAGTTTGGTTTTTTAGGTCTAAAAAGTTCACTTGGCGGTTGAACCTGGATATTCTAAATCAGGTAGCCTATATTCCCCCTATAGGAGCTCTGGTAGCATAGTGCCTAAGGCACTTGACTGCTAACCAGAAGGCTGGCGGTTCAAACCCACCAGCCACTCCTCGGAAGGAA